TAGAACATAAAAATCCACATAATAATATATCAATTTTGAATAGAATAATATTGGTTAGAGTATTTGTCTCTTCTAGTTATCAAAACAATTTTATAGCGCTCTCTATCGTATAAATTCTATGTGAAAATCAATATTGGGGTTAAGATTAAATATTCTATTGGTTAATATTAAACCATTAATAAAAATCTATTGTTGAACAAAGAACAAAGATGGTGGATTGGTAAGGTTCATTCAATCACACTGTTCCCTAAAGAGGAATCAACTTTTAGTACCAAGTTTTGTCTCATGAGTCTATTCAATTCTTTAGTTTCATAACTGATTCAACGTATTTTATTCTTTTCTTCTTCTTTTTGTTTTTTGATTGACATTTGGTGAATTGCTTTGCTCAACTGATTTTTTTTTTTTACTCAATTCAACTGTTAATAAACATGCGTGATATATCTAAACTTATTTATGGATAAGTCAATCAAGAGTATGAAACGTGAAAATGAATTATTAGATGCTGTTAAATCATCTAATATATCTGCAGTTCAACGTATTTTATTAAAATGTCGTTCAGGAAAAACAAGTAAGTCTTAAAATTGAATGTTTGTTCATTAACATCAATGGAATTCTTTTTAGATATAGTATCTCCAAAAAAGATCAATCTCAATTTCCAAGACGATAATGGGTGAGTAGACCAAAAAAAGAAAGAAAGAATTGTCATGACTATAGGCTAGATAATACTTAATCATAAATGTTTTCTTGTTGTTGTTGTTGTTGATGATGATGATGATAATATACAAAACATTAGATAATCTTCATCATTATCATATTGATCGTTTGTTTCTCATTTACACTCTTTTCTACTATTGGTTGCAATATGTTACTCTTTAAAAAAACAAAAATAAAGAATGAATGCTTATTCATATGGTTCATATTAATGAACTCTTTTCTTTTTTTGTTTTGGAAAAATAAAAGATAATTATTTCCATACTATGTCAAGGTTTATTTTTTTATGAAAATCTAATACAAGAATCAAAATATTCTTGTATGAACATTGACTTTGTATGTTTATCAGAATAATGGTTACGAGATTAAACTATTCGATATATTTTGCTTGGCTAATGGAAAAGAAGCAAAAAAACAGAAAGATATTACCAGCAGTATTATTAACCTCCGATCAAAAAGGTCGTCATTTAGGGCATGTAAATATATCATTATGGTTGTCTACCATGTTACTATTAATTGTTTTTATTCGAATTTAATATACTAAGTCTTAAATAAAACCAAGCAAAAGAAAAAAAAAAAAAAAAGAAGAAGAAATCAATTTTAATTAACACATTGATAGTGTTATAGCCTTGCTTCTGTTCACACTCTTCTTATCATTACTTGAATAATTAGTTCTTTTGAACATTTATTTCCTCAAAAAGACCTTGTTTAGGATAAGTCTATCATCATAGAAAGAAAGAAAAAAGAAAGGATGAGATAAGGTCATAAGCATTTCATTTTTCTTTATCATGTCGCGTGTAGAAATTCATTGTTGTGAATGTTAATTTTTATTGATGATTATTTTCGACATTGATCATCTGCTCGTGCATTTCTTTTTCTTTTCTTTTTAATATGTATGTGTTAAAATAAAAGATAAGAATGAATGTGAAATAAATTAAAATGAAAAGTCAGCATGGATCTTTTTTTTTTTTTTTTTATTATAATTGATCATGATGAATTAAAAGTCTGTGCATCATTGCAATAAAGAAGAAAAGCGTTAGATCAAAAAAGAAAAGAAGAAAATGCGTGACTTCCGGATGTTGATTTTTTTTTTTTGCAGTTTTAACTACTATTCTAATTCGCCTTGAATAAACTTGTGCGATTCCCGAATGAGAGAGAGTGTCAGATTGTCAAAAAAAAAAAAAAGGAAACGGAAGAAAAAGGTCAAGTAACGACAAACGATGATGATCATGTTGTCTCAAGAGAGATTTGTACAAGATCATGAAAATGTTCATGTTATTTTTTTTTGCTTGGAACTATCTTGGTATTTCTTCTTCCTTCGAAATAAATATATATATATATATATATATACGAGATGACCCAATTGATCATTTCCTTCATCATGCTATTTCTCCTATCAACATCTTTTCTTCTTTTTTTTTCCTCAACACGCAATCTTCGCTATTGTACCATGTAGTGTCAAAAGTTTACGTAATATTGAGTGCACATACATGCGTGCATCGTCAGCATAGACAAAGAGAAAAAAAAGGATAACTGTGCAATTGCATCTATATCAGAATCAAAAAAGGAGAGAAAAATCTCAACTCGATAAAGTGTGTATGATACTCAATGGACCATTTGTTTTTATTTTATGGTCAATTTATATAATTATAATTCAAAGGTTTCTTATATCATTTTGTTTTGTTTGTTTTTTTTTGTATTTCTAGAATGGGTCCAATTCATGAAGCAGCCGTTGGGGGTAATGTTGAAATCCTTAAGTTGCTTATTGATAATGGTACCAATGTAAATTTAAAAGATAATAAAGGTCTTCGTCCATTACATTATGCATCATGGCAAGGTCGTACTGAACCTGTTTTTATACTTTTACGTCGTGGTGCTAATGTAAATGAACAGTCAATAAATGGTGATACACCATTACATTTAGCAAGTCAATATGGTCATAATGATATAGTACAATTACTTTTATTTCATCAAGCTGATCCAACTATAGTAAATCGTCGTTTATTAACATCACTTGATTTAGCATGTGAAAATGGACGTTTTGATGTTGTTAATTCACTTGTACAAAATTCATTATGTCAAAGAATGATATTAAATTCTAATGAACAAATTTGTTCATTACATTTAGCAGCTAAAAATGGACATACAGATATTGTTCGTTTATTATTATTAAATGGAATGGATATTAATCGTATAACAATTAATGATGGAACAGCATTACATGTTGCTTGTAGAAATGGACGTTATGAAACAGCTAAATTATTATTAGAATGTGGCATTGATATTAGTCTTTATAATTCATATGAACAAACAGCAGATGAAGTTGTTATTAAACAAAAAACTGGAAATGATATAAAACGATTAATAAAAGGTTTGAAAATGACAAAAGAAAAATAACAAGATTTAAATTATGAAAAATTTCTTTTTTTTTCCTTTTATTTTAGAATTTTCTGATGCAGTATTAGTTCGTGCAATTCGTTCATATACAGATAATCATGTTGGAGCATTGAATTTTTCTGAAGGAGATTGTATTACAGTAAGAAAAAAAAAAACAAATTCTAATAGATGATGATAATGATGATTATGATGAATATTTAGGTTTTGGAAAGAAATCCATCAGGTCAATGGCGTGGTTTTATTCTTCAAGAAGATTTAACTACACGAATGGGTTATTTTCCTAGTACACATGTTCAATTGAATAATACTAGTGAGATTTGTGATGTTTTTAAATGAATATATTAATCGAGCAAAAAAGAAAAGAAAATCATAGAAAAAAAAAGATAAATTATTAAATATCAGAGTTATGTTTATTTCATACATCTAATGAAAGAAGTCTACGAATTGATTAATCGCTTTTGAATTGAGACTATACATATCATGCAGAATCAAATGAACTTTGAATATCCTACAAAGAGTTCGGATTCTTAACTTATTACTGTGTAGATACTGATTATTTTTAAATGAATGCTGTAGTCATCCTCAGAAAAGCTAATTTTCGAAATTTCGTACAGAGACAAGGCTTAACGTCAACAGTTTATTGTGAAAGTTTTAGATCATTTGATTTACTTCTATTTTGAAATAAGAATATCAAATCTACTGTTGTATATATGAACGATGTAAAAGATATGTTTTATCTTAGGATAGGAACAATGACAAAATCTAAAACATTCGCAAGAAACGGATTAATTCTGTGCAAAGTTTGAAATCGAATTTCGAGAATCACTTTTCCTGATGCACTTGTGAAGAGAGTCCGTCGAGTTGATCCCGAATCCGAGACTGAAAATGTTTCATTAATCGGACCGATGGACTCTAGTCGTCTGAGAAATATGTAGAGTACAATACCAAAGTACGATTCGAAACTTATGGACCTGACGCGATCTATACGATATTCATTTAAAAACTACTATCAAAAGTGCAGTATCAAAACGCTAAAGGTCTGAATTCTGTTCAAAATATTTATAGGTTTATTTGGGCCTATATAATGACTATAGTCTCGATTCAAAAGCGATTTATCATTCGGAGAATTTCTATCGTAAGAAGCGAATGAAAAGATTGACACATTATTGGTTAATCTAAACGAAAGAAATCTTCATAAATGAAGTAATTATATTATACAAAAAAAAAAAAAAAAAAAAAATTTAACTTGAGAATTACTATTTAGTTTGACATGAATAATATTCATTATTGTATAAGATGTCAAAATAATCTTCATCTAATTTATCTTTTCTATGATAATTTTTTTTGTTCGATTTTGATTTTGTTATTGTTGCATGCATGCATGTACGTATGTTTGTATATTTATTGTCAAGGTTTATCTACTTTTCGAAAAACTCATCTTTCGCCTGTCAATATCAATAACAATATTCGATTGTTGACAGCTTCAACATCAATTACCAATAACAATGTTGTTTTAAGACATCATCGTCCTAGTTGTGTGTTTTTATAATCTATTATTCTATCAATCTTATTTAATAAATTTTATATTTATTCATATTGATCTTTTTTTTTTTTTTTGTGTTTTAGTAATTAATGGTAAAGATATACGTCATACAACATCCGATGATATTCATCGAACACAACAATATAATGGAGATTTATCTCCTGTTGATAGTGATTCGTTATCACGTGTATCACAAGCTGATTCTGGTTTAGTAACAACATCAAGTTGGAGTTCACGTTCAAGACGTGATAGTCCAACAAGTAATAGTTATCGTCATAGTGCAGCAAGTAGTATTGATAGTGGTAGAAGTTCAACAGCT